GGGCTGGTAGGGAGCGGGGGCCATGCCCTTTGGAATCTCGTGGAGTCACATCCTCCCAGTGGGGGGTTTGAGGGGTTCGTGCGGCCCTGCCCTCGAGGGTGGTGGGGGAGGAGGCAAGGATTGTGTGTCCCCATCTGCTGGAAACACACAGTCCTGCCCGCAGGAGTAGGGGGAGCCCTCGCCCCGGTCTCGGAGGCAGAGGCGGGAAAGTGCTTACTGCCCTTTGGGGTCTGAGGCGTGCCGCGGCCCTGGCCGTGGAAGGCGGGGGGTACAGCCCTACCCTCCGGGGTGGGGGTAACAGGGCGCCCTGNTTCTGTGGTAGCAGAAACTGATTGTCGGGATCGGTAGAAAACCCCACAGTTTCAGGTCTCCTAGGGTGTCCTCAAACCTGTGCCAAGTGTCTTGGCGTTAGAGAATGTCTGTCACTGGAAAGCCCTGCTTTCTACCAAACTTAACATGCCGAATGTGCTTGGAGGAGGGCAGAAAGTGCCTGGAGGCGGGGGCGGAGCCTAGTCCTAAAAAGACAAATGCATCTGTGTGCAGTCCCCCGACGTCCCCCTCAGTGACAACACCAGGCCGGTGCCTGGAGGGTGGCGAGGTGGGAGCGCGAGGGGGCCGAGCCCAGGGCCCGGGCGGCGTGCTCACCCACGCAGATGTCTCCCAGTTGGGTCGGGCTCAGCTTCAAGTCCTGGAGAACCGCAGTCAAGACGGCCGAGAGCAGCTCGTCGGGGGTGGTGTCCTGCAGCGAGAAGCGCGGCCGCGGTGGCCCCGGCCGTCGGTGCGCGAGGTCCCAGGGCCTCCACTACCTGCCCCAGCTCTGCAGCCGAGCGGCCTCCGGCGCCAAGGGAACCGCGCGGAGGAGCCAGACCCCAGCGCGCCGTCTCTCACCCCGCGACCGACCCGGGGCCTCACCTTGAAGGCACCGCGGCCCCCTCGGCCAATGGCCGTGCGCCGCCCGTGCACCACGACCACGTCCTCGGGCGACGCGCTGCGAGCGACGCTCCAGCACGGCGCGGCCTGCAGCGCGGGCGTCCCGTCCGCATCAGGCCGGCCTTTCAGGTGGCCCAGCACCACCTGCAGCCTCCGCATCGCGCAGCTCGGCCCGGTAAACCCCCGCCCGGCCCGGAACACAGCGTCGGAACCGAAAAACTGTCGCGAAACTGCACCTTTACCCTGGAAGCCTAAACACCGCCCACAGACCTGCGCAACTGACGCGCCCTACTCCCCCAAAGTCCCGCCCACCTCCTGCCCCAGCCAACCAGAAGGTGAGTCTGCCTTAAGGCCCGCCCCCGCCGCAAACTAAACCACCTATAGCAGGGGTCATCCAGTCAAAGCCCCGCCTAGGTAGCCTACGGCTGCCAACCAGGAGGTGGACCTTTCTGAAGCCCCGCCCAGAAATGTGGATTGGAGGAGATTGCGAAACGCGCGGCCAGACTCCAAGAGCCCTTTAGGCATCTTGGAAAAAAAACTCCGCCACTGCCTGGGCTCCGTCCCCCGCAACTCAGCCCGCTGCCAGCCGCCAAACAGAAGGCCGGGCCGCCGGAGCCCAGCCCACGGCTTCCTGCTGGGAAGGAGGCCGGGACTCGAACCGTTCTTCCCTGGTCTCGTCTTCTCTGCTGTCTCCTGGATCCCAGCACCTAAGTAATTCTGAGACTGCCCAGGACCGTACCCCGACGTGCGTGGGCTCTCCTGGGAAGTCTGTCGAGAAGACTGAGGGAATATGGGCTTCTGAGGCGGCAAGAGAATGGGTTGTTCAAAGGCGCACGAGCTCCCTGTCTGGAGAGAGCCCCGCACAAGTCTGTAAATTACCAACGTTAACAGTCATTTGGGATGATCGGACGAGCGCCCAGCCCCACCACTAGGCCGGGATCCTCCACCGAGGCAGCAAGGGATCCTCTATCCGTGGTGCCCGCGACATGCTTGACACTAAGTGAGCCATACACACCTACAGAATGAATGAACCAGAGTGCCCCAGGTCAGGCTGAGCCTCCCCAAACCTAAAGCGCAAGGCCAGGTGCCCCCTTGACTCCCAATGGCAGTGTGTTTCCCTTGAGCAACGATTCCACCCTTTTTCATCTCATGGCACACACTAAGTACTAAAATTCTGCAGCATACCAAAAACTATATTTTTTGCCGATCTGAAAACAAATGGGTATAATTTTGATTTATTCACAGGACGGCTATCTTTGTGTTGACTGTTGTCATATTTATTGTTTATTTATTTATTTATTTAATTTATTCTACTCTCTAGGGCGGCGATTTTCAACCCTGTGCCCCGGCACACTGATGTGCCACAGGAATTTTTAAAACATGCAGCACCTGGCTATTTAGTCAGGGACACTGACCTCTTTCCCTCTAGATTGTAAAATAAATTAAATAAATAAATAAATAAACAATAAATATGACAACAGTCAACACAAAGATAGCCGTCCTGTGAATAAATCAAAATTATACCCATTTGTTTTCAGATCGGCAAAAAATATAGTTTTTGGTATGCTGCAGAATTTTAGTACTTAGTGTGTGCCATGAGATGAAAAAGGGTGGAATCGTTGCTCAAGGGAAACACACTGCCATTGGGAGTCAAGGGGGCACCTGGCCTTGCGCTTTAGGTTTGGGGAGGCTCAGCCTGACCTGGGGCACTCTGGTTCATTCATTCTGTAGGTGTGTATGGCTCACTTAGTGTCAAGCATGTCGCGGGCACCACGGATAGAGGATCCCTTGCTGCCTCGGTGGAGGATCCCGGCCTAGTGGTGGGGCTGGGCGCTCGTCCGATCATCCCAAATGACTGTTAACGTTGGTAATTTACAGACTTGTGCGGGGCTCTCTCCAGACAGGGAGCTCGTGCGCCTTTGAACAACCCATTCTCTTGCCGCCTCAGAAGCCCATATTCCCTCAGTCTTCTCGACAGACTTCCCAGGAGAGCCCACGCACGTCGGGGTACGGTCCTGGGCAGTCTCAGAATTACTTAGGTGCTGGGATCCAGGAGACAGCAGAGAAGACGAGACCAGGGAAGAACGGTTCGAGTCCCGGCCTCCTTCCCAGCAGGAAGCCGTGGGCTGGGCTCCGGCGGCCCGGCCTTCTGTTTGGCGGCTGGCAGCGGGCTGAGTTGCGGGGGACGGAGCCCAGGCAGTGGCGGAGTTTTTTTTCCAAGATGCCTAAAGGGCTCTTGGAGTCTGGCCGCGCGTTTCGCAATCTCCTCCAATCCACATTTCTGGGCGGGGCTTCAGAAAGGTCCACCTCCTGGTTGGCAGCCGTAGGCTACCTAGGCGGGGCTTTGACTGGATGACCCCTGCTATAGGTGGTTTAGTTTGCGGCGGGGGCGGGCCTTAAGGCAGACTCACCTTCTGGTTGGCTGGGGCAGGAGGTGGGCGGGACTTTGGGGGAGTAGGGCGCGTCAGTTGCGCAGGTCTGTGGGCGGTGTTTAGGCTTCCAGGGTAAAGGTGCAGTTTCGCGACAGTTTTTCGGTTCCGACGCTGTGTTCCGGGCCGGGCGGGGGTTTACCGGGCCGAGCTGCGCGATGCGGAGGCTGCAGGTGGTGCTGGGCCACCTGAAAGGCCGGCCTGATGCGGACGGGACGCCCGCGCTGCAGGCCGCGCCGTGCTGGAGCGTCGCTCGCAGCGCGTCGCCCGAGGACGTGGTCGTGGTGCACGGGCGGCGCACGGCCATTGGCCGAGGGGGCCGCGGTGCCTTCAAGGTGAGGCCCCGGGTCGGTCGCGGGGTGAGAGACGGCGCGCTGGGGTCTGGCTCCTCCGCGCGGTTCCCTTGGCGCCGGAGGCCGCTCGGCTGCAGAGCTGGGGCAGGTAGTGGAGGCCCTGGGACCTCGCGCACCGACGGCCGGGGCCACCGCGGCCGCGCTTCTCGCTGCAGGACACCACCCCCGACGAGCTGCTCTCGGCCGTCTTGACTGCGGTTCTCCAGGACTTGAAGCTGAGCCCGACCCAACTGGGAGACATCTGCGTGGGTGAGCACGCCGCCCGGGCCCTGGGCTCGGCCCCCTCGCGCTCCCACCTCGCCACCCTCCAGGCACCGGCCTGGTGTTGTCACTGAGGGGGACGTCGGGGGACTGCACACAGATGCATTTGTCTTTTTAGGACTAGGCTCCGCCCCCGCCTCCAGGCACTTTCTGCCCTCCTCCAAGCACATTCGGCATGTTAAGTTTGGTAGAAAGCAGGGCTTTCCAGTGACAGACATTCTCTAACGCCAAGACACTTGGCACAGGTTTGAGGACACCCTAGGAGACCTGAAACTGTGGGGTTTTCTACCGATCCCGACAATCAGTTTCTGCTACCACAGAACAGAGGTAGCATCAAAAACAGTCTAGTCCAATCCCTCACTTACAGATGGAGAAACTGAGGCCTGGGAATTTGCAGCAGAGCTCTGGATCTGAATCCAGGGCTTTCTCACCTTTGGTCAACTCTTTTTCCCCACCTCTACTCTTCTAGCGTCAAAACAACATAGTGTGGCAAGAGTCTTATTAAATACCGTAGATGCCACCACCCCTAGGTTCCACCTATGGAGTGACGGCAGGGATTGGCAGAGGACACTTGGAGAGGTGTTGCATCTTCAGAACCCCATTTACCTAGCTGACCGAACTAGTTTGTTTGACTTCAAGCTTTGCACTGCATTCTTTCCTTTCAATGACAGGCAGGCAACCTGCTCATTGTGTGCTGATTTGGAAAGGGGGGGGGTCATACACTACAACACTGTAGTGTATGACCAGGAAGAGCTACTATATAGCTTGCTCCCCCAGCTCCACACCTTGGACATTTCAAGGCCTCAAGTGAGCCTGCTCAGGGCTCGTGTTTCTGAAGAAAGATCTGGAATGTTCCCTCTCTGATATGCACAGATAGACCTTAGTGCCCCGAACACCAACAGGCACTGAATGAAGGTTTGTTGTCCACAGGAAATGTGCTTCAGCCGGGGGCCGGGGCAATCATGGCCCGAATCGCCCAGTTTCTGAGGTAAACTTCCAGTTCTAGCTCTGGTTGGCCATTTTGACTCTTGAGTGGGCTCAGGCCTCAGGGAACTCAGCTTGTGGACGGGAGAGAATCAGCTTGGATACCCAACCTGGACGCAGCCAGGGTCCTCGGCACCCTGCTCTTGAGAACCCTACCTTTCCTCTACAGTGGCACCTCAGTTTTTGAACGTCTCCATTGACAAGCATTTTGGGTTACGAATGCCGTAAACCCGGAGGTAAATGCTTCGGTTTCCGAACATGCCTCGGAAGTCGAACATGCCATGCTGCTCCCGCTGAGGGCAAGATCCTGAGACCTAGCTGTCGGCTGTGGATCCCTCGGTTTCCGAATGTTTCAGAACTCGAAAGGGCTTCCGGAACGAGTTACATTCGAAAACTGAAGGGAGATGTGTTACCTGGCACTGGGTCAGGACAAACAGGGCCTTTGAGACTGTAGCAAAAGATCTGACCTGAATTCTAGCCAAAGTCAATTTATTGCTTTGCTTTTTCTAAGTACTCTTTGGATTCTGTCCTCTTTTGCCAGGTCAGTAACCAAGTAGGCACCCTGAAGAGTGACGTTCAGGTTTTTTGCCAGTTGAGCAAGTGGGGACCTTCAGTCATATTCCGTCAGCAGAGACTTAGGGACAGGGCAGAACTTGAGGAGAGGGGTAGCCCAGGAGCGGCAGCCCAGGAGGGGCAGCCCAGGAGGGGCCTTGGTCAACTTGCCCTTCACTTCTTGCTGTCTCAAGACAGAGGAGGAATGCTTAAGTTATTTTCACGTGTAGATTTAAGAACCACTTAGCTCTGTACTCCTAACAGCATGGAGAAAAAATAGTGGGAACATTAGCCAGTGAAGGACCAGGAAAGCTAACAAAACCTCTCGGGACCAGGAGAGGTTCAGACTGCTTAGCCTGGAGTTCAAGGACTCCCAGGATCTGGTTCCGGGCTTGCCTCCCAGCCTTATCTTCCCAGCTGCGTGCTGGCCTTGACTCTTCCTCTTTCAGCCAGCCTGCCTGCCCACAATCCCTATGCGGGTCATTCTGTCCCTACCTCCTCTCTCTGCCCTAGCTAAACCCTGTCCAAACAGTTTCGCCATTTGCCTGACTTCCCTGAGCTCCCAGGGTTAAAGTGACCTCCACAGCAGCCAGCCATGTGCTTTCTTGTGATGTGCTTTGTCTTCTTGCTCTGTTATTTCAGTCT